GCTTTCATCATGATCCTAAAGGAACACAAAGCTCCCCCCAAAAGAGATGAAACCACTGCACTTAAATAAATACAAAGGTACAAGCAGTTTTCAAAAGTTACAAGGAGGGGAAAGGAAGTCTACGGCAAAAGGAAGAAAATAAAAAAGGAACATTGATATTTTGTACACTGTTTAAACTGAAAAAAAGCTATTTTATTTTGAAATAATTATAGACTCAAGGGAAGTTGCAAAAATAATAAAGAGAGATCTGATGCACCCTTCACCTGGCTTTCTCCAATGGTAGCATCTTACATAACTATGGTACAGTATTTAAACGAGGAAACTGACATGGGTGCAATCTATAGACCTTATTCAGATTTTGCCAGTTTTTACACACAATCATTTGTGTTTATGTGTGTATGGTACTATGTAATGTTATCACATGTCCATATTCATTTCACCACCACCATATTCAAGACAGAATTGTTCTACCACCATTAAGGAATCTCCCCATACTTCCACTTTATAGTCTCACACCAACCATTAATCTCTTCTTGTTTAAACTTTTAAAAAGAATATATTTTTAAGTATTCTACCTACTTTTGTAATACATCCAAAGGAAAAAAGGAAACACTCCAATAAAAGCTTTATGAAATACATGGAGAATTATTTATTGCAGACCAGTACCTCACAAATACTGGTCTGAACTGGATGCATAAAAACATCTGGGGAGCTTTGTAACAATGTAAGTTCTTACTCTCCCTGGAGTGTGCATCAGTAGCTATGGGGGAGAGCCAGATATCTATGTTCAAAATGCTCCCCAAATGTATACACATATGAACATGTGTAATACTATACGTAAATCTGTATACAGATATGCATGTCCATATAAATGTATATGTACTAGTGTGCACACATACACAACTGTAAACGCATAGAAAATTTTTATTAGAACATACTGTAAATCCTTTATAGCAGCTTCCTTCAAATAGGAAGGTACGAGGAGAAACCAGAACGTTTTTTTTCTTTCCCCCGAGATGAAATCTTGCTCTGTCGCTCTGTCTTTGAGGCTGGAGTGCAGTGGTGTGATGTCAGCTCACTGCAGCCTCCGCCTCCTGGGTTCAAGCAATCCTCCTGCCTTAGCCTCCCAAGTAGCTGAGACTACAGGTGCATGCCATCATGCCCAGCTAAATTTTTTGTATATTTGGTACAAACGGGGTTTCACCATGATGGCCAGGCTGGTCTCGAACTCCTGACCTCAGGTGATCCACCTGCCTTGGCCTCCCAATGTGCTGTTAGCAACTGCGCCCAGCCCTCCCCTCCCCTCCCCGCCTTTTTTAACACAACAAGAAAATGGGGGACTGCTGAAGGTTCTCTGTGTTCGGGCTAAAGTCTCTATGGTCCTCTCAACATCGCCCAGAAAGGTTTCTTACTTTTCTCTTTAACCTTCTATACATTTCAATTCTTTTTTTACAATCAGCATATCTTACTCTGTAATTTTTTTGTAGAAGGAAAATTGTTTCTACTAAACTTTCATTTTCATTTGCCACATTTGAGAAACCATTAGCACAGAGTAATGTATTTTTGGTTGTTTTTGCAACGGAGTTTCACTCTTGTTGCTCAGGATGGAGTGCAATGGCGCAGTCTCGGCTCACTGCAACCTCTACCTCCTGGGTTCAAGTGATTCTCCTGTCTCAACCTCCTAAGTAGCCGGCACTACAGGCACCCGCCACCACGCCTGGCTAATTTTTGTATTTTTAGTAGAGACAGGGTTTCACTAGGTCTAGTTTCACTAGGTCCAGGCTGGTCTCAAACTCCTGACCTCCGGTCATCCGCCCGCCTCAGCCTCCCAAGGTGCTGGGATTACAGACGCGAGCCACTGTACCCGGCCAGAAATGTTCTTTACAGACTTATAAAAGTATCTAGGAACCCAGGGATTCATATGGGAAAAGGAAAGTGTCAATACATCGACAGGAAATCAAATTTGTGATAAGCTCTGCTAGACCTGAAAAGAATTTATTCTGTAAGTCTGGTTAGCACCTTCTACAACAAAGTAAGTTGTAGGTATGCACAATAAAATACTTCTCCTTTAGTAGAAATGGCAATAAGATGCAACTTGAATGAACTATTTCTAAAAATGTATGAATATATGGGTAAGACCACAGACTTACCGACCAAAAAATGACCTAAGTTTTAATTCCAGTTGTGCCATTTACTACTTACATGACATAGGTAAATTGCTTACTCTCTCATGTCTCATTTTCCTCACTTTTAAAATGAGTTTATAACATTCACCATCATATCCTCTTATAAGGATTAGATAAAATACACATGGAGAGTTTCTACTACAGCTTCTCAGACATAGTAATGGAAGTTACGGTCTGACCATATTAGCTCAAACAACAATGCGTAAAGAGTTAAAGCAATGCAGTGGAAAGACCCCAAGTGGAAGGCTAAAAGCATGAAGTCCATTTCATTAGCTATATTCAAGTTTTCAACTCATTTCTCTTTGTTGAAATTCAATTTATTTACCTGTAAATAAAACTTGCTGTTTCCTTAAGACCGAATGAAAAATGTGTGTGAAAACACTAGAATATTCAAAGCATTATAAAACTGAAACGTATTCCCCACTGAGTTAAAGGTATTGGAGCCAGGAGTGGAAGAAAGATTCTGTGCATAAAAGACAGGCATAGACTGGGCGCAGTGGCTCACGCCTGTAATCCCAGCACTTTGGGAGGCCCAGGTGGGCGGATCACAAGGTCAGGAGTTCAAGATCAGCCTGGCCAACACGATGAAACCCTGTCTCTACCAAAAATACAAAAATTAGCCGGGCATGGTGATGCACGCCTGTAATCCCAGCTACTTGGGAGGCTGAGGCGGAAGATTCGCTTAAACCCAGGAGGCAGAGGTTGCAATGAGCTGAGATCATGCAATTGCACTCCAACCTGGGCGACAGAATAAGATTCTGTCTCAAAAAAAAAAAAAAAAAGGCATAAAGGCTGGGCATGGTGGCTCACTCCTGTAATCCCTGCACTTTTGGAGGCCGAGAAAGGCAGATCACTTGAGGTAGGAGTTCAAGACCAACCTGGCCAACATGGTGAAAACCGGTCTCTACTAAAAATACAAAAATTAGCAGGGCATGGTGGTGCCCAGGTACTCGGGAGGCTGAGGCAGAAGAATCACTTGAACCCGGGAGGCGGAGGCTACAATGAGCCGAGATCGTGCCACTGCACTCCAGCCTGGGAGACAGAGCAGGACTCCTATTTCAAAAAAGGAAAAAAGGACAGGCATAATGAATTCAGAGTTAGATTAGCCCAGATGTGAATCCTTAGAATTATTATTAGATGGAGGCTGGAGTCAAATGATCTGAGTCAGATCACCACCATTGACTTTCCATGTCAAGGATGTCATGCATGTAAAATGGTGACACTAATAGTATTAGCCTTCTAGTGTTGTAAGGATTAAATGGGAAGATGCATGTAAAAATTTTAGAACAATGCTTGGTATGCAGTTCCCATGTTTAATTTCTATTATTAATATGTCTTAGTTTCCTCAACTTTAACATGCAAAACCTTACCTAAGAGAGCTGTCATGAAGAATAAGTGAGATCTCAGTAAAGTATGTGAAACAATGCTTTAACGGAAGCCGATTATAACAACAAAAATAAGACAAGCAGACTAGATAATCTATCTTTTCCAGAATTAATATGCTATAGTTGTATCATTTTTCTTACATATTTTTCATCACATTGATTTTTAGCAAACTAACAATCACACTTAAGAAAAATTTACCAGGTTGGGACAAAATTATATTAAAAAAGATATTTCATAAAAGTACATTTGGAAAGTATAGCAGTATTGTCATTATACTTTTAAATACTTGAATTCCAAGTCAAAAGAAAAGTTAGTATATTTTAGCAGAAGGAATTATATTAGAACTTAGAAGTTTTGTTGGGCATGTTCTTTTAGCTCATAGTTTTGTAAAGAAAAGAGGAAGAAAAACAACGGGTTACACCCTAGTGCTTCACTATTGCCTTTCCTCTCCAGCTCTCAATCTCTAAAAACAATGAAATCATTCAAATGGTCAGTGACAATTTTTAAAAATCAAGTTACCAGTTGCTACCACCTACTTTCTATTTGGTATTAAAAATTTAAAAATATTCTCTTATCCTCTTATGTGAGGTGTGGTGGTGGGTGTGTGTGTTTAATCCCTTACTTCCTCCCAGGAGTCCCATACTAAGTACCATGGCTTTGACAAATTATTCCTCATATTAAAAAAGTCCTCATTTGGGTCTTCTTGAAGAACACAGATATAGGTGGAGTGGCCATTATTACACCACAATTCACTGGTCTAGATAATTCCTGTAACATCAGTCCCAGTAACCTGGAATTTATTGGATATGTATTTGTGTGACTGACAGAGTGCTTCTGAGAGTCTTTGAGCCAGAGCTGATCCAAGGATGTTCTATTCTAGACTCTACAGGAAAATATTCTTTGTACTAAATTGCATTCACACAGCACTAGGGTAAAAGCATCAACCACTCTGAGCCATGGGTAGAGTGGAAAACCATTTTCCCATAAATTTGTATCACAAAATTAGGCAAGTTATTGATTATAACACTGAGGCTAAGAGGTAACCAACTAACTAGAAGAATCTGTCTTCCTGAATAGGCAGTCCTCACTGGGATTTAAACAGATAATATGTACAAGCGACTCAGGGCGCTGCCTAGAAAATCTAAGAGGTTTCAGCTCTGAAAAGCACATGAATCACTTCCCTCAGACACTTATTTATATACTAAGTATATTAGGGTATAAGAAAAGACCAGAGCTCCTCCACCAAAAAAAAAAGAAGAAGAAGAAAATGAAACAACTTAAAAATGCTGGCACTTAGAAGTAAAATGAGGCTCATTATGGTAAAACCAGCCCCAACGCTAGCCACTGGCTATGCAACTGTACAGTATTTTAAAATCATATCAAACAACAAAATAAAATTTACTCAGCTAGATAAATGTCCCCACTCACTTTTTGATTTCTCGGAGCAGCATTCGGATAAGAATGGCCTGAAGTGGTTCAACCATCAATTTTCTCCACATATCCAAAGCTAGCTGCCAGGAAAAACGAAAATCATCAGGGTTGAATTACTTAGTATATGTTTTTTACATTTGTTCAAGGTTTTTTTTTAACTAAAAATACTTATCAAAAGAAGTATTTACACTAATAGTTCAAAATTCAAATAAAACCTAACAAAAATTTTAAAATTCAAAGAAAATAAATTTCTAATTCGAAATATCAATGACCATTCTACTAGCCCTATCAACATTATTAAGGCTTTATTATTAATTGAAAATCTTAATTTTAGGCCAAGTGCAATGGCTCACGCCTATAATTCCAGCACTTTGGGAGGCCGAGGCAGGTGGATCACCTGAAGTCAGGAGTTAGACCAGCCTGGCCAACATGGTGAGACTCTGTCTCTACTAAAAACACAAAAATTAGCCAGGCGTGGTGGCAGGCGCCTATAATCCCAGCTACTCAGGAGGCTGAGGTAGGAGAATCACTTGAACCCAGGAGGCAGAGGTTGCAGTGAGCCAAGATCATGCCATTGCACTCCAACCTGAGGGATAAGAGTGAGACTTCGTCTCAAAAAAAAAATCTTAATTTAGGCCAGGCACAGTAGCTAACGTCTGTAATTCCAGCACTTAGGGAGGCCGAGGTGGGCAGATCACGAGGTCAGGAGATCAAGACCATCCTGGCAAACACGGCAAAACCCCGTCTCTACTAAAAATACAAAAATTAGCCTGGTGGGGTGGCGTGCGCCTGTAATCCCAGCCACTTGGGAGGCTGAGGCAGGAGAATTGCTTGAACCTGGGAGGTGGAGGTTGCAGTGAGCCGAGATCTTGCCATTGTATGCCAGCCTGGGACAGAGCAGGGCTCCGTCTCAAAAAAAAACAAAGAACAGGGTCTTTTTGTGGTTTTAACTCTCATTTTATTGCGTGAAGCTGGGGATTCTTTAATGTTTATTGTCCATTTTGGTTTCTTTCCTGTGAAACGCCCATTCCTAATTTTGCCCATTAGTCTGTTAAAGTTTGTCTTGTTCTTAATAAAAGCTAGAGTTTTTTTACATACTGTGGAAATTAATCCCTTGAAAGTTTCAGTCTGTCCCAGTAAATCAACTGCTCAGTTTCTTTATTATGTTTTGGTAAAAATATATATTAAAGTTTAATATACTCAAATTTACCAATCTTTTCCTTTATCATGGGTTTTTTTTTTTTTTTTTTTTTTTTTAAGAAATCCGGCCGGGCGCGGTGGCTCAAGCCTGTAATCCCAGCACTTTGGGAGGCCGAGATGGGCGGATCACGAGGTCAGGAGATCGAGACCATGCTGGCTAACACGGTGAAACCCCGTCTCTACTAAAAAATACAAAAAATTAGCCGGGCGAGGTGGCAGGCGCCTGTGGTCCCAGCTACTCGGGAGGCTGAGGCGGGAGAATGGCGTGAACCCAGGAGGCGGAGCTTGCAGTGAGCTGAGATCCGGCCACTGCACTCCAGCCTGGGCGACAGAGCGAGACTCCGTCTCAAAAAAAAAAAAAAAAAAAAAAAAGAAATCCTTCTCTGCCCTAAGGTAACAGGCATGTGTGTGCTCCTACTCTGCCTTCCAAGTTTTCAAGCTCTGCCTTTCACATTTCGGTCTTTAAACTTCAAATATATTTTCCCCACATAGAGTATAAATTATTCCAGTACTGAAAACCAATTTTTTTTTGTTTGTTTGACTCTTGTCTTTTTCCACCCTAACTATATCCAGATAGGCTGTTGCTAGCCTCTCTATTGTTTCCCTAGGGTAATTTTATTCTGATCCATTGGTAATTAAGCATCTGTCTTCTCACAAGGAACACTGTTCAAGTTTTGCCTTTCCTTCTTCTTAAATAGCATGAACAGGGGTTGGGGAGGCAATATATGAAAAACTGGTATTTTATACATGTGGTAGAAGGGCAAACTGGTAAAGGCCCTTCTGAAAGGCAGGGCAGAGCTGTGAAACTTCAGGATGTGCTTCAACAGAGGCTCTACTTCCTGACACCCAGTCTATAAAAAGTTCTGCTCATGTACCATGAGATATATACATAAATATAACTCCATGAGCATAAGATTTTTCTCTATTTTGTTCACTGTTGTATTCAACATATATAACACAGAGAGGTTCAAAAATAATGAATGAATAAATGAATAGTGGTATTCACTGCAGTGTTGTTTGTAATAACAAAAACTTAAAAATTGGCCGGGCGCAGTGGCTCACGCCTGTAATCCCAGCACTTTGGGAAGCCGAGATGGGCGGATCACGAGGTCAGGAGATCAAGACCATCCTGGCTAACACGGTGAAACCCCATCTCTACCAAAAATACAAAAAATTAGCTGGGCGTGGTGGCGGGCGCCTGTAGTCCCAGCTACTCGGGAGGCTGAGGCAGGAGAATGGCATGAACCCGGGAGGCAGAGTTTGCAGTGAGCCGAGATCGCACCACTGCACTCCAGCCTGGGTGACAGAGAAAGACTCTGTCTCAAAAGAAAAAAAAAAATTAAGGGGATAGTTTAAAAAATTACTCTGTATCTCTACAGAATATTAAGCTTTCATAAAAAACAAACTTATGTAAAAAAAATTAATAACAAAAAAAGGGAAGAAATATAGGTTGTAGAACTTTACGTGTGCCATTATATTGCAGTTTGAAAAATAAAATGAAAACTGCTGCACGTGCGTGTGTATGTAAATATTTGTAAATACACTGGTAAAGTTCAGAAAAGATGCAGACTAAATCGTTTACAGTGATTTCCTCCGGGAAGAGAAGCGTGCTTGACGGTTCTGGTGATAAGGGAAAATTTTAAGTAAATCATTCACTTACAATGCTACTAACTAAAAGCAACTACTGTTAGTATTTTGGTATTTCTCATTGATCCTTTTCTCTACATCATCTTTTCCCTACAGTTGTATTTGTATTCAACATATACCTATAATTTTGTGTGCAAATTTTTTCATAAACCATGTCCCCTTTGTTAAAGTTTCTATGAACAATTTTCTGCTATTAATTTATCCAGTTGCCTACTTTTATAACAAAATCATATATATAATACATTCTTCTTTCATGCTTTTTATTGCTGAATCTTGGATGCTGAAATTTTACACTGTTCAGCCATTAGGCACCCTATTAACAATGATTGCAAAGAATACTTTTAAACATTAAACACTTTTATCATATTTATTATTTTCCAAGTATGGATCACTAGGCTTAGGACTTGGGATTACTTGGTCAAAAGTTATTATTTTAAATTGTAATGAAAGAAAGACACTGATCAATTTCTTTCAGAAAGGATTACACTAACTTAAATGTCTACTAATGCTGCCTCTTAGCCATTTATTTCCTTCATTAATACAAATCACAAGTTAACATTAATTTCCTATTTGGCATCTGCTTCCCTTACATGAACTTACAAGTTTTTGTGTGCAGGGACCGTCTGTCTGTTCACCATTGTATCCCCAATGCCTGGCTACTCAATAAAGATGTATTAAATGAATAAACAAGCTTGTACAATAATATTTCTTTCACAATCAGCATAATTTTCCATATTTCAATTTGCACTGTACCTCAAGAACTTGAATGAACTGACCAAACTGCTCATTTTTGTTTTACTCTGAATTTAATTACTTTTATAGTAAAGTTACAATAAATTTGTTAAATTCATAAATTTGTGTTTCCTCTCCTCTAGCCTGTCTTTTAAGTACTTGTCCCTTGTACTTTTAACTACAGGGCCATCAACACTTTATACTTGTTTTTGAGTTTTTTCACAATGCAGAACCATTAACCCTATCATTTATCCATTATAAATTTAATTATCAAAAGAGTAGTTGTCACATCTTTTTCATCCCTCTAAGGATTCTTAGGAAATCACTATAGCATTTTATTTAGGATATTTTAAATCTTGACCATATTAAGCTAGCCAAATCAGTGTCCTTAAAAAATGATGCACAAATTACCTCAATGTATAAAAACATACTTATGTTCGCTAGTCATTTAAAGAATTTCCTACCTCTCCTATTTCCATAAGTGGTTCATTCATATCTACACCACCATAGCCATACTGAAGGTCCGCTTCTGTTAATTTATTCTTTTTAATAAACTGGGTGTTGAGATACCTGGAAAATAAATGTAATATCAATGGATATTAAGTTAAAGTCAGTAGGAAAGCAAATAACTTGCAACTTCAGAAGAATATTTTTAAGGTTACATATCAATCATGGAATAGCCTACTAATAAATCCAAAAGAAATGAATTAGGTAGAGATTAGAAATATAATAAAAATTAAAATTATCAGCCCACCTTTCTCTGCAAGCCCTTACCCTTCTAGCCAACCGCTCTTATCCAAGTTTCAGAATTTCTACAATCTCATTTGCTACTTCCCAGACTCTTCTTGGGAAAGTCAAGATAAAGTTCACTTTCCAAAAATTAAACAGAGAATGGTTAAAAGATCAAAGTCAAGTTAGCTTTCTAATTTATATTCTAATCACCAGGAAGAAATGCAATTTTTCATTTTTAAACAAAAAAGATCACAATTAGTAGGTAAGAAAATGGAACAGAGTGTTACAGATAGTAAGTATGGGCAAGATTGACAGATATAAGATGACTTTGTCTACCAAAGGAAAATGAATTATAATAAAAATGTTTAATATATTTTAAGACTAATAAATGTGATTAGCCTTAAGAATAACTGAGATGAATACAGAATTCTAAAATAAAACATGGAGAAAGGACTCATAACGTTCAAAGGTGTACTTTTTAGGATCCCAGATTTCACTCTAATGCCTTTAATGATCACCACCTAAAACTATTCATTTGAAAGGCTCCGCTTACAGCATTTTAGGCAACAACCCATGAAATCTATATGTGAATATATACACTTTTCAAAGTTCACTATACCAAAATGAAGCGTCCACTCAGACAATTTAAAAACAAAGACAACTAAAACAAGACAAAAATTTTGGGAAACAAACACATAATTCCTGGCCAGGTGTGGTGGCTCACGCCTGTAATCCCAGTTCTTTGGGAGGCTGAGGTGAGAGGATCACTTGAGGCCAGCAGTTTGAGAGCAGCCTGGGTAACAGCGAGACTGTTTCTAAAAGAAATAATGACTCCTAGAAAATTGACTCCAAAGTGGTATATCCACAAGCATTTACACAAGCTCCACCTCCATATTCACTAGTGTCAAGGCTCTAGACTCCATGGCTTACAACCTTGATGTACCATTTGACATTTTAGTGTCCTCTGACCATAAGTTACAAAATCATACTCCTTTTTTCCCCCCTTTAAAATGCCATTTATTCCTTCCTCTCTATCCTCACTGTAATTCTCAAAATTTCATGCTGAGTTTCCAACCATGCCTTCCAGCTGAGGAAAGAGGAGTAAGATTGAGAGACAAAAGTAAAAGGTAGAGACGGGATGGCCTCTCCACCTAAGTGCCCCATCCCAGATATTCTAAGGGTAGTCCCCTTTCATCTGAGTCTCACAGCACAGACCCACCTTTCAGGCCTGCCCTGAACCGCAGAGGAGTTAGCCTTCACTTCCCAGCCCTAAGCAAGTAACTATTTAACGCACAACTGTTTTACTTTCTTCACAGTAATTGCTACTACATGAAATAATCCTATGCTTTTATTGGTTTCTTTTTTTGTACATTCATCTCCTCTCTAGAATGTAAAGTCTACAAAGCAAGAACCCCCTCTTGTAGACAGCATCCACAGTAGTGGCAGGCAAAAGTCAAGGCCTCAAAAAATACTTACTGAATGAATTACTGAATAAATAAACGGATAACATTCCAGACAGCCAGGATAGCAAAAGCTAACAGTAGAACACAAACTTGGAAAAGCAGCCTGCAGCCAGATCATAAAAGCCATGAATACCAGAAAATAAAAGTAATCACTAAATTTATTGAGACCACCTGTCAGACACAGCCCTAAGCATTTTATGAGGCTGAATACTATAAGACAGATGTATGTGGTACTCCTATGATCATTTTATACATAAGAAAGCTGCAGCCTAGAGAGGTTAAAGAGCTTGCCAAAGGTCAATCAGGTGGCAGGGCTGGCACAGAAACTCAGGAGGTCTTCCACTCCCATTCAATACGCATCAGCTGAGGGTGTACTGTGTGCCAGGTACAATATGAGGCATGCAAACACAAAGATGAAAAGCAAAAACATGGTCTCTGCCCACACAGAGCTCACTCTGTGCTAGAATATAGAAACAAATGTAAGATTTCATCAAGGAGGGGTGCTCCCTCAGTAGAGGGTACTTAGTTGTCATATCATTACCATTTACATATGCCTTCCAATATGGAATCTCTGCTCCAAACCGGTTTTCTTTTCTGGTCACTGGAACCAAGACCATTCCGGTAACCTCACCTAAAACATCAGAATCCCTTATCTCATCCTTTCATTTTGCCTGCTTTAATTAGTCAGTCTTCCTGTCTTCCTAAAGTATTCATCACCTCCTCCCACTACTTCCTTTGACTTCCAATGTACTTGCTTACCCTCTGCCCCGATCATGTGAAACACTTTTATGACTGGGCTCTACTTCAGTTTCTGGCATCTTTAATTCATCTAAAAATTCTGCTGTCAGGATGTCACTTCCCTATTCAGAATTCTACAGGAGCTTTCTTTAACTATGTAATAAGTGTAAACTGCTTAGCATAGAAGCAGATGCTAGATCTGCAGATCAGGCCTGAATTCACTAATCCATTCCAAAGATCTGGATGTATATTCTCGAGCCAGGTTACTAATTTAGTGCAGCTTTACATGCTTTGTATCTGCTAGGACAAACCAGTATTATCTTTTCCTCACAGAATAAAATTTAAACTAACTTACATTAACTATGTCTTTCTTATTGCAGATTGCTACTCTTGGTAAATTTAAGCTTGAAATACAACGTTTTAAAATCAAGTCATGGCCAGGTGAGGTGGCTCACGTCTGTAATCCCAGCACTTTGGGAGGCCGAGGCGGGCGGATCACCTGAGGTCAGGAGACCAGCTTGGCCAACATGGTGAAATGCCACCTCTACTAAAAAAATACAATAATTAGCCAGGCATGGTGGTGGCTGCCTGTAATCCCAGCTATTCAGGAGGCTGAGGCAGGAGAATCACTTGAACCCAGGAGGTAGAGGTTGCAGTGAGACAAGATCGCACCATTGCACTCCAGCCTGGGCGACAGAGCAAGACTCCGCCTGAAAAAAATTAATTAATTAATTAATTTAATTTAGTCATGATTTAAAATATTAACAGTGCCATTTTTCATTTTAATATGGACACCATTATTAATTTTATTTTATAAGTCACTGTAGTATTTTACAATCAAATTTATTAACCACATATTTGCTTCCTAATAAAGACATGCGGCTGGACACGGGGGCTCATGCCTGTAATCTCAGCAGTTTGGAAGGCTGAGGTGGGCAGAACACTTGAGGTCAGGAGTTCAAGGCCATCCTGGCCAATATGGTGAAACCCCATCTCTACTAAAAAAATACAAAAATTAGCCAGGTGTGGTGGCACGTGCCTCTAATCCTAGCTACTCAGGAGGCTGAGGAAGAAGAATCACTTGAACCTGGGAGGCAGAGGCTGAAGTGAGCCAAGACTGTGCCACTGCACTCCAGCTACGGCAACAGAGCGAGGCTCGGTCTCAAAAATTAATAATAAAATAAAAGAACATTTATGATTCATGGGAGAAGGTCTAAATATCATTATGAACAGGTGATTGGAAGATGCCAATTCTGTAAAGGGAAATAAAATCTCAGGATTCCCAAAATTCCTATGCCAAAACAGGAATTTAACCTTGGAGGCTGAGTCATGCTAAATGGTCATCCTTTTCCTGGACAGATAACTGTTACAACTTTGTGTGGAAACATTATATATTAGCCAGACCCCTGGGGTAAGGCAAAAAACCTCAGCCACTTCCTTATGACTACCCTCCCTCAAAAAGTCACTCATACATAAATTCTTTGCCAGCCTTGAAACCGTTAAAATGTAAATCCTCCCATAACACATGGACAGGTCAATTATAACTCCAGATCTGTAATCTAAAGTCTAGTTCCTAAAACCTAAGGTTTGTTAGCATCCACCTGGTAAGTGTCAATTCTTAGTTGATATTCCCAGGCACAGAGCAAAGGCAAGATGACAGTAATCCTTCTTCACCTCTCCGTGAGATGTCTGAACAACTGTTTTCTTCCTCTATATCCTTTTTCTTCAAAGGTTTACCTTATATAAAATGTAGATTTACTGGGCATTAATTAGTCTCACAAGTAGATAATCATTTGCCTCACTGCCACCACCCCTCATGTTTTAAGGAAAATGTACAAACACTAAACCTCCTAAGAACCTCTTTGGACAAAACAGCCACAGATGCATCTGTGCCTTGCATTTTCCTGGGTGCATCCTTAAGCTGGCTCAATAAACCTTGATTGAGACACCTGCCTCAGTCACTCATTTTGGTTAACACTTCCAACCCTCATGGATGACTTAGAGAGGGTCAAGACTCCAGGGGAGGAAGTGACTGGAGATGTTGTGGAAACATCAAGAGAACTCAGAAGTGGATCCTGAATATGGGACTGAATTGCTGCAATCTCATGCTATAACTTGAATGGATAAGGAGTTGCTTCTTATGGATGAAAAAGTGGTTTCTTGAGATAGAATCTACTCCTAATAAGATGGTAGGAACATCGTTGAAACGACAACAAAGGATTCCAATATCATATAAGTCTAGCTGGTAAGGTGGTGGCAGGGTTTGAGAGGACTGACTCCAATTTTTTAAGAATTTCTACTGCAAGTAAAATGCTATCCAACAGCATTGCACCCTACAGAGAAATCTTTTGTGAAGAAAGAGTCAACTGATGCAGCTAACTTCATTGTTGTCTTATTCGGACACATTGCCACACATTGCCTCCCCAACCTTCAGCAACCACCACCATGATCAGTCAGCAGTCCTCAACACCCAGGCAAGAAGACTGGCAAAATGATTACAACTTGCTGAAGGCTCAAATGATCAATAGCATTTTTTCTTTTTTAGCAATAAAGTAATTTTAAATTAAGTTGTGCACATTTTCTTAGACAATACTACTGCACACTTTGACTACAGTATAGCATAAACATAACTTATATGCACTGGGAAACCAAACAATTTGTGTGACTTGTCTTATTGCAATATTCCCTTTATTGTGTGGTGGTCTGGAACTGAACCCACATCATCTCCAAAGTATGCCTATACAAGAAAAAGATTGAGAGTAGAATCTACTTAAGTGAAATAGCATGTTTCTGGAACAAGATTATGGTAGAATTAAGTAGTTAAATGGATGGGCTTCGGATTCAGACTGATCTGGGTTTAAATCCTGCCTTTGCGACTCATTAGCTGAGTGACCTTCAACAAAATCATGCTCTCAGCATTGCTTTCTTCCTCTGTAAACAATGGAGATACTAACTACTCATATCATTTTACACACACATACTAAATACGCTGCAACACTGACTAAAAGTTCATAAGTAGCACCAATTTAATAGTACTAATTTAGACAGACACAGTGGCTCATGCCTGTAATCCCAGCACTTTGGGAGGCTGAGGTGGGAGAACGGCTTAAGCTCAGGAGTTCAAGACCATCCTCGGCAACATGGTGAGACAGCATCTCTACAAAAAATAAACAAAATTAGCTGGGCATGGCGGTGCACACCTGTTGTTCCAGCAACTGGGGAGAAGAGGGTTTGAGGTGGGAGGATTGCTAGGGCCCAGGAGGTTGAGGCTGCAGTGAGCTGAGATCATGCTACTACACTGCAGCCTAGGTGAGATCCTGCCTCAAAAAAAAAAAAAAAAAAAAAAAAAAAGGACAAAATAAAAGAAAGAAAAATAGAAAAAGAAAGAGAGAGCAATCCAGGCAGATGGAACAGCACCAGGAAAGGCAGGAAAATGAGAGAGACCATGGGTCATCATGAAACTACAAGTAATTCAATATGCCTAGAGCATGGGGAATGCAGAACTTCAAGGGGAAAATAACCCAGTAATTTATCTAACATCGTTTGCATCAAACATAAAATACTGAATGCTAGAGCAAATAAGAACATATTGAGGGGACATGAGCTGAGATTTTCCCACTAAGTTTCATGCAAGTTGAATTTTCACATTGATCTCTGTTGAGATTAAACACATGCTACAGGTTGCAAACAATCAGAAGAAACAGAGCCATGCAATTGAGTACAGTTTTACTTTTCACAGAACATTCCACACACTCCCTGGCTCCTAAATACCCACCTTACCCTGACTATAGACCTTTCCCCATAGCAGAGAAAAGTCCATGTCAGAGAGGATGCTTTAGTTCTGCACATGTGAATGAGAAATAGATAATAAAAAAATTATCCTGTCAACTATTGAATGCAGGCAACGCTGCTTAGCTTGTCTAGACTTTAAAGGCACACTCACCTATATAAGCAGTCCATATAGTCTGCACCCTTGCTGTATTCTTCCCAGTACCTATGATACATAACAAGTACTTGTTCTTCTGACTCCAGAACTCTCTATATAAAGAGGAAAAATATTTTTACTTGAAAAGCAATAATCATTTTCACTGTGAACCATAAAATGTATCAAAATTAATGTTCTAAAATAATTTACATAATTAAAACTGTATAAATTACATTTACACAATATATATTAACTACACTTATTAAAAATGAAACAACTGGGAAAGATGTGAGTCTTCAATATGAAAGTGAAACATCCATAATAGAGAATAAAGTGAGCCGGGTGCAGTGGCTCACGCCTGTAATTCCAGCACTTTGGGAGGCAGAGGCGAGCGGATAACCTGAGGTCAGGAGTTCAAGACCAGCCTGACCAACATGGTGAAACCCCATCTCTACTAAATACAAAAAAATTAGCCAGCCGTGGTGGCACACGCCTGTAAGTTCCAGCTACTTGGGCAGCTGAGGCAGGAGAATTACTTGAACTCGATCACGCCAAGATCCTACCACTGTACTCCAGCCTGGGGAACAGAGCAAGACTCTCTCTCTCAAAAAAAAAAAAAAAAAAAAAAAAATTCACACAATGTAACCTAAAATATAAAATTGCAAAAAAATTATTAATGTCTTATGTAGTTATCATTTATGGTGTAACCAAAGCTCACTAGCTGACAATAGTAGAACTTTAAATTAACATACTAAACATAAACACTTTAAGACCACTTTAACACACTTGCAATCAAAAGTGCTTTCATAAGTGGATAAATGATCACATTAGAACACTAAAATGCACATGCCATATACAGTCAAAAGTAGAGCATTTTCCAGTATTTTCAGGGAAACAGCACACAATCAATTGTGCCTTACTTATGAGTTTTCGTTTTTTTTTTTTTGTACAGATAGTGTCTCACTATATTGCCTAGGCTGGTCTTGAACTCCTGGCCTCATATGATCCTCCTGCCTCAGCCTCCCAAACTGCTGAGATTACAGGTGTAAGCCACCACACCAGGCCAATTCTTACTATTTAAAAAAGTATCTACTCCTGACCACGTGCAGGGTTAGACAGTTTAAATAAACTGTGTTGTTTTACTCCCATTTTATAGATAAAGAAAGACAAAACTCAGTCCATACGGTAGTTGTTAAGTGAGTTGCCTGTGGTTACAACAGCTAATAAAAAGCAGAGTGAAGATTCTTACGCAGGCACAAAATTATCTCACCCAGTTCCTGATTAGATCAGTAGTCTAAATTAAGTTAGAAATGCTGTCTATGGCAAAATACTGCGAAGTTCACTGTTTATACACAGATCATGTCTGTGATGCTGCCCCCTATGTGTAGCATACTAATCAAAAAACTGGTCACGGGACAGCTTCTATCATCGTTTACCATTTCTTTTTAATTTTAGATTTTGGGAAGACTTTATATAGCATATGAAAGGCAGCTAAAAAGCTGAAAATAATAAAGACAGAGATTTACCAAGAGATACGAATAAACAACAAGGGAAAATTTGGCTGTGTTAAACAATATCCAGAGGAATAGGATATTCCTATGAGTTTTAAAACTCAACAAACTCTGAGCTGACCCTCTCCTTCATTTACTAATTACAAGATGCTGAACAACTGATTTCCCTAACAACACAGTGCTTGACTCAAAGATCTTAATATGTATATATTTTTAAAATGCCGATTAAGAAGCAAAAACAAGGGAGGCCAAGGCGGGAGGATCACTGGAGCCCAGGAGTTTGAGACCAGCCTAGGCAATATAGTGAGACCACCATCTCTACCAAAAAAAAAAAAAGAAAAAAAAAATTGCCAGGTGTGGTGGTGTGTGTCTGTATTCCCACCTATTCCTATATTTAAAAAAAGCAGGCCGGGCATGGTGGCTCACATCTGTAATCCCAGCACTTCGGGAGGCCGAGGCAGGTGGATCACAAGGTCAGGAGATGGAGACCATCCTGTCTAACATGGTGAAACCCTGTCTCTACTGAAAATACAAAAAATTAGCCAGACGTGGTGGCGGGCGCCTGTAGTCCCAGCTACTCGGGAGGCTGAGGCAGGAGAATGGCGTGAACCCGGGAGGTGGAGCTTGCAGTGAGTAGAGATCGCACCACTGCACTCCAGCCTGGGCGACAGAGCGAGACTCCATCTCAAAAAAATAAAAAAAATTTAAAAAGCAGCAGCAGCAGCAAAACAAGCTCACCTTGATAAAAGTTCTACACTGGAAAACAGTATACTAGTAAGGTACACAACTATCAACATATTTATATCATGTATGTATCATTGCTTACCTTGTGCAAATGCCGAACGTGATTTTCCAAAAAAATCTTAGTTTCTGTATAAAGTCTTTCTCCAAGGGGTTCAGGATAGGCCACACATAAAGCATAGATATCTCTAGTTAAATTATTAAGGTTTTCATATTTATTGGAGACAAGTTTAAAACATAATGAGATTTACCTTGTTTGGCATTAAAAAATGAAAAAACATTACTTCTTTCCATGGTTTAGCTTATAATATACATAATACTGTTATATATATGACAAAGATAGAATACATAACCATGCTTACTTTAAAAAGCACTATAAGATTTATTCATTTATTTGTTCCACAGGTATTTACTGAGAATTATTTGAAGACACTGTAAGGAAAACGGTTCTTATCAGACAGGTTAAAATCCAGAGGGAGTTTCTGGAAATTCAAATTACCCAGAATCCTACAAAATAAGATTTATATTAGAATGGATATTAGCATAGTATCAATGAAGGGCTATGGAATATGACAAGAGGCAGATATGTCTAAGCAATTCTGAGAAACTAAACAAAAATTATTCATTTGACACAGCCTCCTACACCATAGCAGTTAGGATACTCTACCGTTATTCTATCAGAAGAAATATACCATGAATAGGAATATCAATTAAGTTTCTGAACATCAACTAAGTACCTTGCTAAGTCTCACCGGAGGTAGATAACAGGAGTGGAAAGAAGTAAGACCTGAGACTTTACCTTTCACTAGCTAGTGAACTTCACCAAGTTTCCTAGCCTCTCTGGGGTGGCATTTCCTTTTTCCTTTTTTTCTTTTTTCTAATATTCTTTGCTTTATTGGATCTTCTCAACATCTCCAATAATTAGAAACATTATAGACCAAGAAGAACAAAAGATAAGACTTAAGGCAAAGCCCATTTACAAGTTTGGGGCCAGACACGGTATTAGATTATGATTCTGGGAACTAGGTGTTTCATATGCTGCCTCCAACCACTGTGACAAGGCATTTTGGGGGTAACAGCTCATTTGTCCACAGGAACACTGATACCAGAGCAACACAGAGGTCAGGACCTCCAGGTGGTTATACTCCAGGACTATTCCATGATAAAGCTATGCCATCTGATCGGTACGATGACCACCACCAAGTGTCTCCAAGGTAAAGATAAGGAACCTTTCCCTGACATCTCCATAGTTTACCCAAATAAACTCAGATATGTTAAAGTACTTTATAAACTGCCCATCACTAACCAAATGTAGAAGATAAAGGACCTATGAGCAACCTGAGATCAGCCTAACTAAAGATGCTGATACAAACTGATAATAAGGCTGATGATTCAGGATGAAGTCAGGTGTTTACGTTTAGTAGAAAGATTAGGAAATACTGTGAAATAAAAATGTTAATTTAAAAATAAGGATGCAAATTCTTCCTCCTCTATGTCCCCCCCCAACACTTTATATATTATTCTACAAAATTTATTTTTATACAGTAAAATTTACTTATACCTTTCCCATCCACATTAGCCTATCCTTCATCAACTCCATACTCCCAGCTCCCAGGCACAGTTCCCAGCGCATGACGATTTATTAAATCCTACTGAAGGAAAGGAGATGGAAAATCAATCTCACATGCTCCCTTATGCCAGAAAGCACAAGCAGCCCTCTCCACATTTATTTACTTATTTATAAATTTTTGATCGGTTCTATTTATACATTTTTAAGCTTTATTTATTTATATTTTTACTTCAAAAAATTTTTTTGTAGAAACAGGGTCTCACCATGTTGCCTAGGCTGGTCTCAAACTCCTGGGCTCAGGCAATCCTTCTGCCTTGGCCTGCCAAAGTGCTGGGATTATAGGTATGAGCCACCACACCCAGCTTTACTTATTTTTAGTAATAATTAGTAATTAAATCATTTTAACAAAGATTACGTAGACTTTGTAACAAAGACTATGTGGACATTTTAACAAAGATTATGTCTTATGGTTCTGAATACCTACTTCTAGAATTTTCATACAACATAATGATGTTATTTGCTCCAACTATGTCTTCCTAAAGCCATATACACACTTACTTCTAAAAGATATGACTTAATTGGTACTGAAAAATTAAAACTATTCAATACCATGATTTTTGCATATGTTAATTATGTGCCCAAATGTCTCACAACGCCAAAATTAATATATCCACTGCATGTAAATGTAAACAAAATCTATTGGAAGGATTTGTGTCACATCTCCAGCTTAAGGAGAAAGGAGCTACACAAGAGAAGTGGTACAGGTAGACTCTCCTACTTCATTCCATACATAGTACTTCTGCACTGTTGGACTCTTCCAGAATATACGTATTTTTTTAATGGAGTGAATCCACCTTAATAAAAATTTAAAGTTCATGTTTTAACTCACCATAGTTTTGGGTCTCAAACCACTGTATAATTTTAACCAATTAAATATGTTCTTTTTCTCTAACCTATTTAAATATCCAACCAACCAGGAAATGTTTAGCCCTTATGAAGAACACCTATGAAAATGAGCTTTTCAACCTCCAACACTCAGCTATGATTCGATTATAGACAAGACACTTTAAAAGACAAAAAACGTTGGCTGGGCATGGTGGCTGACACCTGTAATCCCAGCACTTTGGGAAGCCAAGGCGGGCGGATCACAAGGTCAAGAGATCGAGGCCAGGCGTGGGGGCTCACGCCTGTAACCCCAGAACTTTAGGAGGCCAAGGTGGGCAGATCACGAGGTCAGGAGATTGAGACCATCCTGGCTAACATGGTGAAACCCCATCTCTACTAAAAACACAAAAATATTAGCCAGGCGTGGTGGCGGGCATCTGTAGTCCCAGCTACTGGAGAGGCTGAGGCAGGAAAATGGCGTGAACCCAGGAGGCGAAGGTTGCAGTGAGCTGAGATCGCACCACTGCACTCCAGCCTGGGCTACAGAGCAAGACTCCATCTCAAAATAAATAAATAATTAATTAATTTAAAAAAGAGATTAAGACCATCCTGGCCAACATGGTGAAACTCTGTCTCTACTAAAAATACAAAATTAGCCGGGTGTGGTGGCACATGCCTGTAATGCCAGCTACTTGGGAGGCTGAGGCAGGAGAATTGCTTGAACCTGGCAGGCGGAGGTTGCAGTGAGCCGAGATCACGCCACTGCATTCCAGCCTGGCAACAGAGTGAGACACCATCTCAAAAAAAAAAACAAAACAAAAAAACAAAACACAAAATAACTAGAGGTCAGATTTCAACTTAAACATTCTTTCACTAGACTTATCTTTTCCTAAGTCATTTTTTAGGGAGCCAGAATACAAAAACTCTTCTATTTATGAACTTTCCAGTTTAAAAATGTCTCAGTCAGAAACTAAGCTGTTCCAGAATGAAAGCTCTTAGCTGCAACCAAAAGATAGTCCTAATCAGCAGCAAAGTTATTTATTTTATTTCATGTTCTCTATTAAAAGGTGTTTCCTATGATTGGGCTTAATTTTGAGATTTAACAGTATGAATTCTATTATGCTGTGGGTCAAAAACAGTAAGAGTTTTGCAATGGAGTAAAAGTAAAGGTTATCTAAAAAATTGAAAATGGTAAGACAACCAAAAAAGGATTTGACAATTAAAAAATTAAATTAAATTAAATTAACAGTAAAAAGGAATTTGCTGACCTTTTTTTTTTTTTTTTTTTTTTTTGAGACAGAGTTTCGGTCTTTTGCCCAGGCAGTGAAGTGGCACAATCTCGGCTCACTGCAACCTCCACCCTCCAGGTTCAAGCAGTTCTCCTGCCTACCTCCCGAGTAGCTGGGATTACGGTTGAGCGCCACCATGCCTGGATAATTTTTTTGTATTTTTAGTAAAGATGGGGTTTAACCATGTTGGCCAGGCTGGTCTCGAACTCCTGACCTCAGGTGATCCATTCGCCTCAGCCTCCCAAACTGCTGAGATTACAGGCGTGAGCCACTGCGCCCCGCCAGATTTGCTGACATTTCTAATGAGAAAGAATACAAATGCGGTATCTATGAAATCATGAATTAGCAAGCAAGGATAAAAAATGACTAATTAAATCAAAAATTTTCAAGTGTACAGCTAGTGAATCAATGTGAACAAATATCAATTAGCCTGATACAATTTAGAATAGGGTGAGGCAGTTGCTGATGCACCAAACACACCAGACTATAGATAAAATCTTTCCCCATCGGTAAAATCCAAGAAAGAATGATGGGCTGCTATGTACAGACTCCATGGCTACTAAGACCTTCTCCTTCTAACACTTGTGAAAAGTGTCAAGGATACAGATTACCTGCCTCAATATTTTCAAATGACATCAAAATTGGTCTATGTTTGAAAGAGATGCCTGATAGAATATAAACTAGAAATGATGGCCAGGTGTGGTGGCTCACGCCTATAATCCCAGAACTTTGGGAGGCCAAGGTAGGTAGATCACCTGAGGTCAGGAGTTCAAGACCAGCCTGGCCAACATGGTGAAACCCTGTCTCTACTAAAAAAAATACAAAATTGGCCGGGTGTGATAGCACGTGCCTGTAATCCCAGCTACTTGGGAGGCTGAGGCAGGAGAATCGCTTGAACTCAGGAGGCAGAGGTTGGAGTGAGCCAAGATCACACTATCGCACTCCAGCCTGGGCAGCAAGAGCAAAACCCTGTCTCAGAAAAAAACAAACAAACAAACAAAAACAAATGAAGACAACAGTATGCCTGGGTTTAAATGGTGGGAGGATGAACTCATTTTCCTACCTGGAAGAAATATGTTGAGGGAAGGCAATATTAAGTCTCCCCTAACAATCACTTTGGACCTACTATAATCTTTTAGATGCCACTTCTCCTCAAGTAGGAAAATGTCTACATTATGCTGCTGGAGTCTGGAAATCTGTCCTAACAGCTACTAAAAGAGAGAAAACCTTGAGTAAAAGTAAACCAGAACAGGGCCAGGTACAGCCTATTTATACATAGTCCAAAAATCAAAGAATTCACCATTGGCTGGTCATAGTGGCTCATACCTGTAATCCCAGAACTTTAGGAGGCCGAGGCAGGGGGGGATCACTTAAGATCAGGAGTTCAAGACCAGCTTGGCCAATATGGTGAAACCCCGCCTCTACCAAAAATACAAAAATTAGCCAGGCATGGTGGCACGTACCTGTAATCCCAGCTACTCAGGAGGATGAGGCATGAGCATCACTTAAACCCAGGAGGTGGAGGCTGCAGCGAGCCAAGATCACACCACTGCACTCCAACCTGGGCAACAGAGACCCTGCCACAAAAAAAAAAAAAAAAAAAAAGATTCACATTATTTATTCTATTTATATAAAGTCCAAGAATCAAAGAATTCACCATTTAAGAACCACAAAAAGCTGGGAGCCATGTCTCACACCTGTAATCTCAGCACTTCAGAAGTGCCAAAGTGCCTGGATCACATGAGCCCAGGGGTTCGAGACCAGCTTGGCCAACATGGCAAAACCCCATTTCTACCAAAAGTACAAAAATTAGCCAGGCATGGTGATGGGCACTTTTAATCCTAGCTACTCAGGAGGCTGAGGTATGAGAATCACTTCAACCTGGGAGGTGGAGGCTGTAATGAGCTGAGATCACTGCATTATGTCTAATAAAAAAAAAGAACCACAAAAACAACAGGCACAAAAATCAAGATAGTAGTTAGTTCCTAGAGAAACGGGTGGGATTGTGAACTTAGAGGGTCACGTGTTTCGGGGGGGGTTATAGTGAATGTTGACAATGTTCTATTGTTCAATGTTCTATTGATAACATAATTGCTTGCATTATAATTATTTGTGCAACAGTGTATTTTATGAACTTGTCCATATTTGTGTTATATATATACCCACACTCCCCACAAATGCATGCTAAAAGTTCAAATAATAATGCATATCTGAAACAAGGTGGGGGGACCTGTTTTTTCCTTTTCAAAATATTTACATTGTATGGCCCTTAAAATTTCTACTTAAGATATTAAGGGTCAGAAGTGAACTTTATATTCTTGGGCAAAATAACAGGGAAAATGATGGAATTTTACCTTATAACAATCAGTAACATAGCCTTTTATTTATTTTTGAAATGGAGTCTTGCTCTTGTTGCCCAGGCTAGAGTGCAGGCCCAATCTTGGCTCACTGCAACCTCTGCCTCCCAGGGTTCAAACAATTCACCTGCCTCAGTCTCCCGAGTAGCTGGGATTACAGGCACCCACAATCACGCCTGGCTAATTTTTTTATTTTTAGTAGAGACAGGGTTTTGCCATGTTGGTCAGGCTGGTCTCAAACTCCTGACCTCGTGATCCACCCACCTCGGCCTATCAAAGTGCCAGAATTAAAGGCGTGAGCCACCGTGCCCGGTCTATACTCTTTAATCATTATTTTTGCAGACTTTTTTTTTTATTTTGGGGGAAAAGAAAATTCAGGATCAAGTGAAGAATAACTGGCCCAGCCACCAGCTGGGCAAGGTGGCTCACACCTGTAATCCTAGCACTTTGGGAGGCCAAGGTAGGAGAAGTGATTGAGCCGAGGAGCTCAAGACCAGCCTGGGCAACATAGTGAGACCTCATCCCTAGAAAAAAATTAACAAAATCATCTAGGTGTGGTGGTACATGCCTGTAGTCCCAGCTACTCAGGAGGCTGAGGTGGAAAGATCTCTTGAGCCTAGAGGTTGAGGCTGCAGCGAGCTGTGGTCACACCACTGTACTCCAGCCTGGGTGACAGAGTGAGACCCTGTCTCTAAAAAGTAAAGATTAAAAAAAAAAAAAAAAAAAAAAAAAAAAGAATAACTAAACCATATTAGATGGACCAAACAAATAACATCAGAGAAATAAAGTGACTGAAGGGGTCACTTTCCAGGGAAGTAATCTATTTCAAAACCACTTAAAAACCAAGAAATTGTCAATTCTGTACAACGATGAGGAACACATTTTAATTATTTTTTCTTTACCTCCTGTTCATTTTCCCTCCTCTTGCTCGTCTTGTAGTCATCTATAACCAACTCCTCTTCCCTCTCTGCTCCTTTAGTTAAAATATCCTTAAAAGCACCTAAAAACATGCCTAGACCAATCTCACAAGTAGCAACACTTACACAAGTGGCAACACTTTTTCAACTTTTATTAAGATTCTTGCCCCAATCCATAAGGTTCCACAGAAAGATTAGTTATCTAATTCAAAGGCAGAATCTGCATTGGTTATCCTCTAGATAGACTAGAAAGCATGGGAAATTGGATGTTTAAGATACTATATTCAAGTCTGTGCTCCATCAATCACTACCTGTGTGACCCTGGACAAGTAAGTCCCTTACCTCTGACATCAGTTTCCTCATCTGTTACAGTCAAGTAATTATTTTTGCACCACTGATCTGATGGACTTGAGATATCAAATAGCATAAAAAATATAAAAGATCTTTGCAAACTATGAAGCCTTCCGAAATGTCATCACCCTTTTACATGTCTTCAGTGCCCAGAACATAGTTGGCTTAATAAACTTCCCTTACTGCCTACTGGAGTTGTAAGGAATTAAATGGTTTTCTGTTGGTCTAAAGAACTTTACTGTTCTTGCATCCACATTCAGCTTAATATTAACAACTGAATTAGGCATTGAGAACAAGCTGAACCACTATCTTATGAAATCAGAGCTTTTCTAAAGAATGTATGCCCCATATAATGAGGGCAGCCCTTCTGTAGCCCCAGAAGATTACTAGAGAGGGCAGCACTAGTTAGGTCTAGCAGATCACTGTCATGGAGGAATGCAGGAAACTAGGCTTCAGGGCATCCTAGAGAAATCACCAATCTGCATTGTTACATAAAGCTCTCAATTCACAAATGTAGGCAATCTAATGAAAAACACACTTCCAGCTGGGCGTGATGGCTCATGCCTGTAATCCCAGCACATTAGGAGGCCGAGGCGGGCGGATCACGAGGTCAGGAGATCGAGACCATACTGGCTAACATGGTGAAACCCCGTCTCTACTAAAAATACAAAAAAAAATTAGCCGGGCATGGTAGTGGGCACCTGTAGTCCCAGCTACTCAGGAGGCTAGGGCAGGAGAATGTTGTGAACCTGGGAGGCAGAGCTTGCAGTAAGCCAAGACTGCGCCACTGCACTCCAGCCTGGGCAACAGAGCGAGACTCCGTCTCAAAAAAAAAAAAAAAAACACGCTTCCACCCCAGTCACTGAACTTGCTGTTCACTCTCCACCAAGTGCACTCTTCCCCCCAAAATCACATGGCTTGCTCCCTCGCTGCATTCCAGTCTCTGCTCTAATGTCACCATACTCAGGGAGGTCTTCCTTGGCCACCCATTCTAAAAGAGCAGCACACACACAGGTACTCCAAGCCTCCCCCACTTCCTTATCCTGCTTTCATTTATCACGACCTCTTCTTAAAAGCAATGACATTAGATTTTTTTTTAACCTGCTTAGTGTCTGTTTCTATTTTTATAATAGAAAGGCATTTTTTTTGTTCACCAACTATATTCCCAAAGCCTAAAGTAGTCCTTGACAGATACTAAGTACTCAATAAATACTTGTTGAATGAAAGGTTATCAAATACTGATTGCCATAAAAGAGGTGACAAACTTGGAAATGTAGATAATAATATATTAGAAAATAGTTACATGGGAAAGTTCCTCCATAACATTGAACATCTTCTCACTTTTCAACAAGTTTATCAATTTTAGAACACTGATCGAGCTGCCATTAAAAGGATACGAGAAGCGGTCATTCCATGTTGCTCTTTCAACATATTCCAACATGACCACAGCTTTTATTGTCGTCAAAAGTTTGTTCCATGTTTCATCAAAATCAACTACTCTTGGTTTCAAAGACATTGTGCAAGTGTAGTGTTGAAATCTGTCAATTAAAAACAATAACAAGGTTAGCATTAATTCCATAAGCTTAGTTATTTGTTTTTAAAGCACTACATAATTAAATAGCATGATATATGCAAGGAGTGAGAAAGCTACCATCTTTTCATGACTATCCAGACAAGAAATTTCATAGACTATTTACATTCATTACAAACTCTAGGAAATGGAAAGCTTCTAGTACAAATTATTTATGATCAAGGGTATAATTTCAAAGAGTTATAGTCCTCATTTAATATCTCGAGGGAAAGAAACGGGGACCCACTTAACAAGCCAACTTCCATCATGGGAAATAATGCAGGACATTCAACTGAAAGGTTTTGGCCCCAAATCCTTGTGGTCTGCACTCCTGAAAGTGGGGAATGAGGTAGCATGCAAGGGAATATGAGAAAACACAAGAAAATGAAAGGTTTTACCTTCCTGGAGCATCAGTTTTGGTATAAGATTAGGGAAGAAATTTACATTTATATTAAACCAAACAGGGATGAATTACGGAGTAGAATATAAAATTCCCATGACCTTTTAAGATTAAAAAAAGATTCCAAAGAAATGTCAGGTTTGTAGTGGAGAGCTTAAGGCTCCTTCCCAGATTCTTGGGATATCTACTTCCCAGGTCTAATGAAAAGCATGGCTCTAGCATGGAACCCCTGGCTCCAGTGAACCTAATGGGCTTTTTTTTTTTTGAGACAAAGTCTCACTCCGTTGCCCTGGCTGGAGTGCCGTGGCACAATCTCGGCTCACTGCAACCTCCACCTCCCAGGTTCACACCATTCTCCTGCCTCAGCCTCCCGAGTAGCTGGGACTACAGGCACCTGCCACCACACCTGGCTAATTTTTTGTAATTTTAGTAGAGACGAGGGTTTCACCGTGTTAGCCAGGATAGGCTTGATCTCCTGACCTCGTGATCCGCCCGCCTCGGCCTCCCAAAGTGCTGGGATTACAGGCGTGAGCCCTGAATGAGCTTTTAAGGGAGTTCAAAGACTCCTGCCTCACAGACAAACTGCATTTAGGAATTAGCTGGTTTCTGGAACAAAAGGGTCCCAAGGTTACAGAAACTTGGTTCAAGCTAGATTCTAAATCTTTCTCAATATCACATCAGATGATCAGAATTAAAAGAGAAACTTTGTAAGTTAAATTTAATTGCTCAAAGGAACATTTTTCTGGCAAATGTTTTAACAACCTCCCTCAAGTCTCCCCTCATTAGCAGGATTGTGAGGCACCAACCTAGTCTGTAGCCAAGGCCAAAAAAGGATGAAACATCTTTTCTCTTGTCCCCCACCATGGGGGAAAGGGGAGGCAGAGAATGGGAGGAGGGAATGATGCACAAAGAGAACGAGCAAAGGGAGTGGGGAGGACGGCGGCTACACCACCAGCCATGGACTGGGAGAGGCCCTTCTGCGTTCCCAGCTGAGAAGACAGTTCAGGAACAGACTCCATGGAAAAGAATGAAAAAGATCAGAGAAAAGCCAAATATCCAAAAGAGGGTAAGCCATGTTGAATCACATCCTCTTTCCTCAACATACCAAAGCCTCCACCTCCTGGCCTTCAACTCATTCCTGAACTATCTAGAACAGATTAGCAGTGATTTTTTACTGTGCAAAGTTGGGAAGGTGGGAGAGGAGATGGTGGGAGAACTTACTGAGTTTCCTAAGCTCTATATAAGGGAATTAACCATGCCTCCTTCCCTTCCTTGTTTACCACATCCTATCATCAACTGTGCATATGAGTATTTCCTGAATCCATCCATACCTGTGTAGCCCCACAAATGTTTCAGAATCAGGCCCTCAGCAGAAATAGTAACAGCTGTTAATATTTACATTGTGTGTACTGTGAGTCAAGCACTAGTCTAAGTACCCTGTGCAAACTCATTTAATCCTTCCAACATTCTGACAGGTAGGTCCCACCGTTCTCCCCATTCTCTTTTCTTTTTTTTTTTTTTTTGGAGACGGAGTCTCGCTGATGTCGGCCTGGGCTGGAATGCAATGGTGCAATCTCGGCTCACTGCAATCTCTGCCTTCCAGGTTCAAGTGATTCCCCTGCCTCAGCCTCCCAAGTAGCTAAGATTACAGGCATCCACCACCACGCCCGGCTAATTTTTTATTTTTAGTAGAGACAGCATTTCACCACGTTGACCAGGCTGGTCTCAAACTCCAGACCTCAAGTGATCCACCCGCCCTGGCCTCCCAAAGTGCTAGGGTTACAGGCACGAGCCACCGTGCCTGGCGTGTTCTCCTCATTTTCTAAATAAGAAATCTGAGTCACAGGTGATTCAGAAACTTGCTTAAGGTCACAAAGCTATGTAATGGTGGCATCAGGATTCAGACCCGCGCTGCAGCCGGTGCTCTTGGCTGCTGTGTGCAACCATGCTGCCTCACTAACATACTTGGTGAATACTTACTCCTTGCCAGGCACCATTCCAAGCTCTGAGGATACAATGGACAAAAACAAAGTTCTTGACTTCAAGATCAGAATCTCAGACCTTGCCCTTATCAAAGACATAAAAATAACCTACCTAAGCCAAAAAGTTGGCCATGTTACTTTGTACATAAAGTATGAAGTTTGTTGTTTCCTTCTATAGACAGTATTCAGTTTAGGCTCAACTGCAACATGGCACCCAAGCTTCCTCTCCTCCTGGTACTCCCTACCGTGACATCATAATCCAGGAACTTCTCTCTGCTTAGAGATCACTGAACACATCAGCCTGATTCATACACTTGCCTTTACCCTTCCTATTTTCTCTACCTGAAGTGCTCTTCTTTTCCTTAGCTGCCCCCTCCACCCATTCCACCTAACTCCCACTGACAGTCTTGGGACTTGGTCCATTAGCTTTTTGTTGTTTTTGTTCCTGAGACAGAGTCTTCCACTGTCACCAAGGCTGGAGTGCACTGCAACCTCCGCCTCCCGCGTTCAAGTGATTCTCCTGCCTCAGCCTCTCAAGGACCTGGGATTACAGGTGTGAGCCATCACACCCTAATTTTTGTATTTTTAATAGAGACAGGGTTTCACCATGTTGGCCAGGCTGGTCTTGAACTCCTGGGACTCAAGTGATCCGCCTGCCTTGACCTCCCAAAGTGTTGCGATTATAGGTGTGAGCCATTGTGCCTGGCCTACATCTGCTTTTAAAAAACTTTCTTGGACCATTTAAGCTAGGTAAGGTGTCCTAGCATAGGTATTATCTGAGAACTCCACACTTTCCTCTATCAGAGCACTTCATCACTCTGAACTGAAATTACCTGAGTGTTTCTGAAAGTGGGGACAATTCTGTAACTGCATACTAAAAAGCTGGCAATGCTCCCCTCACGTTCACTTTCTCCTCTTATAAAATGGAATCATTTTTTACATACTGCTTGTAAATTAGTTTAACAGTTGCAGGCCGGGCGCGGTGGCTCACGCCTGTAATCCCAGCACTTTGGGAGGCCGAGGCGGGCAGATCACAAGGTCAGGAGATCGAGACCATGGTGAAACCCCGTCTCTACTAAAAATACAAAAAATGAGCCGGGCGCGGTGGCGGGCGCCTGTAGTTTCAGCTACTCGGGAGGCTGAGGCAGGAGAATGGCGTGAACCCGGGAGGCGGAGCTTGCAGTGAGCCAGGATAGCGCCACTGCACTCCAGCTTGGGCGACAGAGCGAGACTCCGTCTCAAAAAAAAAAAAAAAAAAAAAAAAAAAAAAAAAAAAAAACAGTTGCAGAGACTTTTTTTGCTTTATGGAATCAGACTGACACTGACTTCTCTGTTGAGACTGATAGATTTCTGGTACTATAGGAAAATACACAGTCACAATACATGCTTGGATGGACAGAAAAGCTGGAAGCCAAGGTGCGAGAAGCACCAGCCTCCTGAAATACACCAAAAACTGACAAACCAATAGCAGGAAGTATGCGGAGACAGTCTATCAGATTCTCTGCTTCCCCAGCAGAAAGCTCACATAACTAGGAAAATTAAGTTTCTCTGTTTCCTTGAAATTGCTTAGTAATAACATTTAGGGAAAGTTTACATAAGGATGTGAAAGAGACACAGCAAAGAAGAAAGAGGACCACAGTCACACTACTTCTACCTCCCAAGCTGTCAAACAACTCCTAAATCAGTCTTGTTCTTCATTCCTGTGCCTTAATAAGATTCCCATGAGCACTCAGATTGTGTCCCATCAAGTAACTGCAAAAATCCAAATCTCCTGAAATCACCACAGTCCCCGTTAGCTTTCTTGTGAGTTCCACTCTTCCAACAATGGGGTTTTAGGCACACAGGTACAGTGGCTAGGGCCACTTATGGGCCCTAAAACACACACACACACACACACACACACACACACACACACACACGCTCCACATTTTAAAAAATTGCAAAATAAAAATTTCTATTTAATTACTTGTTTCCAGAAAACATATGTCAACGTTAATATATTTGCAACATTTTTGTTACATTTGAAAACACCTGTAGATTTGATTTCCTCTCAGCATAATTTCTAAATATGCATGATTGTCAGTAATAATTACAAAAGTGAATTATAAAACACAGTTACCATATGACCCAGTAATTCCACTCCGAAAGTATAAAGAGAAATAAAACTCCCAAGAGAAATACAACATATTCACATAAAAACTGGTACACAAATGTTCACTGCAGTATTACTCATAAAGGACCTTGAAATAGCTCAAGTGTCTATCAACTGATAAATGGTTAAATAAAATGCAATATATCCATACAATAAATTGTTATTTGGCAATACAAGGAAAGGAAGTACTGATACACACTATCACATGGATGACTCTCAAAAACATTCTACTAAGTGAATGAAGAGGGCCACAAAATAGCCACATAATGTATGATTCTATTTATATGGAGTATCAAGAATAGGCAAATCTATAGAGACAGAAAGTAGACGAGTGGTTGCCTAGGGAACTTGGGGGGAAAATGGGAAATGACTGCCAACGGGGTGATGAAAATGCTCTAAAGTTGATTGTGATGATAGTTGCAAAACTCTGGGAATATACTAAACACCACTAAATTATATATTTCAAATAGGTAAATTGAATGGTATGTGATGTATATCTCAATAAAGCTGCTATACATTTAAAAATGAATTATAAAAATCCTACCAAAAATTTTAGAGCAATTTAATGGGGATGAGGTGGAAATAAGTATCAATACATCCCCATGGTCGTTTAGCATAAAATTCTGAAATCTCAGTCTCTCTCCCACCACTCCCGTGTACGCCCTGGCTGCCACCTCCCATCGCCAGAGGCAATAAATGTTATATGTTCCTGGGCGTATTTTACACATATATGGGATTTGTTATTCCCTTTCACATAACACAAACATGATCTTTTTTTCATCTGTTTTACATAAATGGTATACTATTCAGATTCTTATATATCTGCCTTTTTCTCTTAAGAGTATAGTTGGGGCCAGATGCAGTGGCTCACGCCTGTAAGCCCAACACTTCAGGAGGCCAAGGTGGATGGATCACTTGAGGTCAGGAGTTCGAGACCCACTGGCCGACATGGTGAAACCCCGTCTCTACTAAAAATACAAAAAAATTAGCCAGGTGTGGTTGTGGGCGGCTACCCCAGAGGCTGAGGCAGGAGAATGGCAGAAACCCAGGAGGCAGAGCTTGCAGTGAGCCGAGATCGTGCCACTGTACTCCAGCCCAGGCAACAGAGCAAGACTCCGTCTCAAAAACAAAAACAAAAACAAAAAATTAGCCGGGTGTGGCGGTGGCTGCCTATAATCCCAGCTACTTAGGAGGTTGAGGAAGAGAATCGCTTGAACCTGAGAGGTGGAGGTTGTAGAGAGCCGAGATCATGCCACTGCACTCCATCTTGGGCAACAGAGCAAGATCCCGTCTCAAAAAATAATAATAATAATAAAGGAAAAAGAAATAAAAATCAGGCCAGATGTGGTGGCTGACACCTGTAATCCCAGCACTTTGGGAGGCCAAGGCGGGCGCATTACCTAAGGTCAGCAGTTCGAGACCAGCCTGACCAACATGGAGAAAAACCCTGTCTCTATTAAAAATACAAAATTAGCCGGGTGTGGTGGCGCATGCCTCTAATCCCAGCTACTCAGGAGGCTGAGGCAGAAGAATCGCTTGAACCTGGGAGGTGGAGGTTGTGGTGAGCCAAGATCGCGCCACTGCACTCCAGCCTGGGCAACAAGAGTGACACTCCGTCTCAAAAAGAAAAGAAAGGAAAAGAAATAAAAATAGTATTAAAAATATATATTTACAGATGTAATGATATGCTGTCTGAAATCTGCTTCACAATTAAACAGCTTGCTCATGAGTTGATAACTGTTAAGGATGAATAACAGGGACATGGGGATTTATTACAGTATTCTTTTGTTTGTATGTGTTTACAATTTTCCATAATAAAGGAATTTAAAAATCCTACTCCTCATAAACATCATTAATATTTTCATAAATTTAGGGGAGAAAGCACATCATTTCTTACTAACTGAAAGGTGTTACTAACCTTCTTCCCTTCTGAGAATCTTAACTTTCCTGTGAGTTTTAGGTTTCCAAAGTTGTAGGAGAGCTCACAAAACACATAGTACTGTCCCTAAATATGATGTGTTAACATAGCCTGACAAAATGTCCACCTCCCAAAAATTTAAATTACTAACAGCAGAAATAAAAAAATATATATATTTTTTTAAGATCAGATGAATTTTTTTTTTTTTTTGAGATGGAGTTTCAGTCTTGTTGCCCAGGCTGCTGGAGTGCAGTGGCACAATCTCAGCTCACTGCAACCTCCACCTCCCAGGTTCAAGCAATTCTCCTGCCTCAGCCTCCCGAGTAGCTGGGATTACAGGCATGCGCCACCACACCGGGGAAATTTTGTATTTTTTTTTTTCTAGAGACGGGGTTTCTCGATGTTGGTCAGGCTGGTCTCAAACTCCCAACCTCAGGTGATCCCCCTGCCTCAGCCTCCCAAAGTGTTGGGATTACAGGCGTGAGCCACTGCACCCAGCCCGACTTTTTTCATATAAAGAGATTTGTTCCTGTGAACTCACTTGCTGGAGCAAAAATAAACAATTTAGATAACTTCAGCAGGTAAAAGTTACAGTCTCTCAAAAGATTGATTTTGGTGTTTCATATTTTACTTACCTTCTAAAATTCTATACCTTCTAAAATTCTAAAATTCTTACCTTCTATAATTATCAATAATGTAAATGGCTAACCTCTTACTATTTTGATTCTCTTTATAGTGAATAAAACTCCTGAATGATGATTTATTTCAGTATTGATCATCAGCAGCAATAAAAATCTGGCATCCAAAAATTACCAGTAAGATGTAATAGAGTGCTCTAAACTGACTTCAGATAGTTAAGACACCACAATTTAAATGCCACTCGATAGGCTTAGAGCCGATTTCCTTCTAAATGCAAAAAATGAGAAAATACTTAAGATCCAATAAAGAGCCTTACAGTAGTCCCCTGCCTTATCCAAGGGGATAAATTTCAAGATCTCCAGGGATGCCTGAAACTGTTTTTCCATATACATACATACCTATGATGAAGTTTAATATATAAATCAAGCACAGTAAGAGATTAACAATAACTAGCAATAAGATACAACAATTATAACAATATGCTATAATAAAAGTTACATGAGTATGGTCTCTCAGAATATCTCACTGTGCTGTACTTGCCCTTCTTGTGAAGGTGTGAGAAAATACAATGCCTATGTAATAAGATGAAGTAAGGTGAGTGACACAGGCATCAGAAGGTCGGCATTAGGCTACTTACTACTAACCTTCTGTATTCCTGAATATGTGTTACCGTCCCTGACTTAGAATACATGGCTTGGTGTCATTCGTTTCTGGGGATCCCTTGCTGAGTCTTCAAATAGGCTCAATGCTTTCTGGCGCAGTATGTTGCCATCAAGTGGAACTTGTCTCTGCTCATGTCTTCCACCCACCAGTGTGATGCCTTTTCCAAATTAACTAAGCACTTATTACACAATGTAACTCTCACTTTTACAGTTTGAGGTTTGACAGCAAAACTAGTAAGAATGTCTTTCTTCACAATTTCTTTTCCTTCATAATTGTGAAGAAAGAAAAAAATTCTTACTAGACCTGTTT